CAGTGGAGCAGAAAACTTTGATCTTAAACTATATTAGTAGACATCTCATGTTTCTGGAAATCCGGAATGACTTCCATTAGTGAAAGTTCTATCCCCTTTCAGATAGAATGACATTTTACCACACCAGACAAACTCATCTTGTAAAAATGCAAATCAAACCCACACCTTCAACATGTTAACCAATTTGCTACTGAGTTGAGTGATCCTACTGTAAGTCAAAAATATGCAAAAATATGCATATATGTATTGAGATATTCTTAAATTAAAGTTAAGCTTAAATTTAAAAATGAAATTTAAATTAAACAAGTAACCAAACTGGTTTGAAAGAAGACCAACAATTTATCAAACTAATTTTTTTTTTAATTATATTTCAATATCAGGTAATCAACTTTTGCAAATATTTTATATATATTTTTATGAAAGTTTAGTGCGAATGAAAATAATTTTACAAACGTTATGTACTTCCGCAAAAATATTACTCTTAATTGCTTTTGAAATGCGGCAGTTAAATTCTCAATTCTTTGCCAATATGTTAATAAGAATAAAAGTTCATATCTTATAAACTTTCAAACTTATCTATATCTATTCAAGTTATAGAAGTATATATAGTATAAAGGTATATATAGTATATAGTATATAGGTATATTATTTATTTAATATACTACTTACCTTCTAGACTTTGATCATAGCCTTTTGTAAAGAATAGCATTGCCTTTGCTGCGCGTTCTGGTGTTTTTAACAGACCTTGACGATCGGGGTTCTCGCCCAAGCCACCGAGTAATAAACGATATGATCTGGCCATATCAGGTAATAAAGCCTCACGTGTTGGCGGTTTATGATCCAATTCTAAATCATGATGGAATGTACAATTTTCATGACCTGTAAGAAAAGACACAATTGAATTAGTAAAAACAAGCATTTGAAGATCTTATCAGTAAAATAAAATAAAAATAAGTCTTAAAAAAAATCAATTAATCTATAATAATAGCATATATATATAAATGATTTATGAAATTATCAAATCAAACTTTATTGATTTGTGAATGTATAAAAGAATCACGATTATTAACATCTTCATTCTACGAATAATTAATTTAATAATATAATAAAAATTAATTTAATATACATATATATACATAGTTGATATTGTGTTTGCAAGCTCTTAGGATTGATAACAAATGGAACAGGTTCTAATCGCACTCGATAATTAAATAATAATAAAATAGTGGAAAACCTTTGACTTTTGCTACATAAAAATGTGTAAATACGTAAACATTGGTTAATCTGTTTAGTATTTTTAAATATTCAGTTTTTAGTTTAGATACAGATAGATACATAAATAATACTAATGAACCCATTGATTCTAAAATTATTGTTCTATAATATGTTATAGTTTAATTTAAAATACTACACGAATTAAAATTACACACTCCACTTTATAATATCATTATTTTTACAAAAGAAATCCAGTTGTCTTCCTTTTTTCCTACGGCTTGGTCTGTATATTCAAAAGACTTTACCTGGTGTCGTTGATGTTCTGGGAGTTTTTGGTGTTTTTGGCGTTGCATCATTTGCTTCATTTTCTGGTATTGTGCCGTTTGTTTTTAAAATAAGCTTCGGTCTTGACACTGGTGTTGATATTAAAGTATCGATCGCATTTTGAGTGATTACAGCATTAACATTACTTTCATCAGTTTGTGATAAAGTACGATCCAGTATAAGTGAAGATGAACTCGTAGAACAAACACTATTGTTGCGTCCACGAGACAGGATGTGAGCCTGTGGAAAATTTGTATCATCGATTGCATCGTTCAATTCACTGGCGCTCATTTCAGAAAGTTGACGTGTAAAACTCATTTTATTTTTGCTTTGAGAAATAACTTATTTTTTTTATAATAAATATTAGTCAAAAATTTAACAATTTATAATAATTATTTAATTTAATTTAATTTAATTATTGTCGTCTTTATTGCTTGTAAGAGCTTGTAAGAGTTTTGCTTAACACTTTTAAGTAACAATAGTTTTAAACAAATAATTATTGAGATTATATTTTGTGTGATTTTATATGTAATTCAATTTTGACTTTATTATTTTGAATACTTTTTTTTGTAAAACTT